TATTTTTAACAAACTACTTATTGTGAAATACATCCAGCAACCTCATTATTATTATTATTATACAGGATTTATAAAGTGCCAACAGTTTGTGCAGCGCTTTACAATATAAGACATTACAGTTACAATACAATTCAAGACAAGATGGTCAGGAGGGCCCTGCCCCTGAGGGCAAATTGTAACCAACAAACTTAAGGTGCCCATACGCCTGCCGATTATCGTACGATAATCGCGGGTGATCCCGAGATCGTACGATAATCGGCAGGTGTACGGGCAGTGTGCGACCTCTTCTACTGCACGGTCGCACGACATTCGTCTTCCGAGCACGCTTGAAAACCTGCCGAAAATCGTAGCCCTCCCCGCTGAGGGGAGGGCAATCATCGGAAGCCCTCCCCTCAGCGGGGAGGGCTTCCGATGATCGCAAGTATGATCTGCCTGTCCAAGATGGGCAGATCGTACAAAATTTTAATGGCCTTACAACCATTGCACAACGAAAGGCGTGCGATGGTTGTAAGGTGTATGGCCACCTTTACACAGCAGTTCTTTAAAAATAAGTACAAAGTTGGCTTGAGACAGAAAGTAGCAGGGCCTGACACTGCATGGAACTAGAGAAGGACCCCTTGATGTTTTCTTACAAAAAGTACTTTTACAGCACACAAAAAAAAAAAAAAATGCTCACTGATTGAGTGCTTTTTAAATGCACACAAAATGCGTCGGAAACAATGTACAAAGTTTCTTTTCACATATAAAATGTAGCATACAAGAACCAAAGAAACTAACATCCAGTTCACAAATGGAGCTACATTTCATGGCTTGTTGTGGCTTGGAAAGGCATGGTCATTGTAGCTGCTCCATGCTGTCTGCCTCAGGTCAATGTAACTAATTAGTGAACAACTGAAAGCACTTGAGCTCACACAATAGGGAAGCCGAGATATTTCAGTTGGGCAGTACTGTGAAAAGTGGCCATTCAGAAGAGATCAGTGGCCTCACAATGGCAACGCCTCCCATTTACATTTCCACTCAAAGCATATATTGTTCTGCAGCACAAGAAAGGCAAAGTGCTGGGGGGTAGATAAAAGCTAGCAATGCGTAGTGTACAGGGCTGGTCTTATTTCCACAGGGTTTAACCGTAGCCTACTGGCCTTTTAAGATCACTGCCACTTGTAAGAAGTTTCAGCCATTACATACAGGAACAATGTACTAGTCTAAGAATAGTTAGAAAGAAGCCAAGAGCTGCAAACATCAAAAGAGACCCAAGACAGCTGTACAAGTCATGCAAAGTTGGCTCTTCTTGCATAAGGATGCTCTTAGGACAAAATCACCACATGCAATTCTCTAACCGAAAATGTCAGCTTGTCTCCCCCATGCTGAGTTTAGTATAGATTAACACTTTCATGACCATTGGTCTTTAAAGCGACGTTAAAGGGTTTTAAAGCTTTTTTTAACCACTTAGAGACCAGGGTGTTAAACCCCCTTTCTGGCCAGGCCATTTTTCAGTGTTCAGCTCTGTGGTACTTTGGTGTTTATTCCGTCATGTAACGCTGTACTGAAACAAATTTTCTTTTGGTGGTATTTAATCACCACTGGTGTTATTTTTTTACTATATAACTAAAAAAAAGTACCCTAAATTTTGAAAAGGAAAACGGTTTCCCTATTTATTGTTATGAAACATTTATTATCACCCAAATTTTTTGGTAAAACATAGAATACGGGGTCACGTCGGGTAAACAGACACCAAACATGTCAAGCTTTAAAATTGCGCGCGTCACAAAATCGCAGATAACGACCACACCCAAAATTGGCCATAGGCGACGCTTTAAAATATTTTACCGTTCATCAGTTTAATGTGATCAGTAATTAATGGCCCGTCAGTGCAAGCTACTGCAGGCGATCGGGCATTTCTAGAGACACCCGATCGCTTGAATGTAAACGGCCATCGCTGGCTGTTTATATTGGTTACGGTTCCACACTCGTGTGCGCTGAGCACGAGCAGGGGGAGGAGCAGGACATATTAAAACGCCCTCCCGCTCCTACAAGACTCCTGTCCGGCCGTTCAGGAACGGGAGGTGGTCAAAAGAGGAAACCACTTACAATGGATGCTGCTCCTTGATCAGTTAGAAGTTTTAGTTTCCTGCAGAATCAGCTGGTACCCTGAGCACTGGCCCTGATATTCTGTTTTTGGGTGGCTTCTTTTCTCTTGCAGTAACCTATGGAGTTACCCTTGGGTGTGCTAATAAGTTGTGTGTCTCCACAAACACACAGCAAGGCAAACCATTACCCTGCTCCCCCCTCATCCTTCTCCCTTTCTCCACGCTTGTAGACGGACAACTTCTGGAGACTGCTCTGTCTCATGTGATCTTGTGCTCAACAGGAAGTTTAGAGAAGAGCTGGAGCCAAATGTTTGGAAACATGACTAAGTGCTTGGGCTAAAATGTGAAGAAATGCTTTGCTGGGCCATGTATATTTGTTTGATCATTATGGGGGGGAACCTATGCTCCTTGTCTCCAGCTAGTGGCCACAATGCAGTGCAATTCTAAATGTCAGATGTTCAGCGTGAACAGCTCTGCAAACGTATTATAAATACACACCCAGGTGTGAACATGACACTTTTATTGTTCTCATTTTGATCATGTGAGGTCAGGAAAATTGGTTAATGCATTTATAACTTCCTACCATAATGCGACACAAAATAAATTTTTGGACTTTACAAATTGTTAACTGCGCATATCCATATACAAGGTTATAAAAACAAAAAATCAATATAAAAAACGTTATTTAAAACCTACATACTGTAGGTTCTACACTTCTGATACACAAGTTTGACTTCCAGAACATGTTTATTCAATGGTTGTATGCAACATCCTGGATATAACCGTAGCCTACTGGCCTTTTAAGATCACTGCCACTTGTAAGAAGTTTCAGCCATTACATACAGGAACAATGTACTAGTCTAAGAATAGTTAGAAAGAAGCCAAGAGCTGCAAACATCAAAAGAGACCCAAGACAGCTGTACAAGTCATGCAAAGTTGGCTCTTCTTGCATAAGGATGCTCTTAGGACAAAATCACCACATGCAATTCTCTAACCGAAAATGTCAGCTTGTCTCCCCCATGCTGAGTTTAGTATAGATTAACACTTTCATGACCATTGGTCTTTAAAGCGACGTTAAAGGGTTTTAAAGCTTTTTTTAACCACTTAGAGACCAGGGTGTTAAACCCCCTTTCTGGCCAGGCCATTTTTCAGTGTTCAGCTCTGTGGTACTTTGGTGTTTATTCCGTCATGTAACGCTGTACTGAAACAAATTTTCTTTTGGTGGTATTTAATCACCACTGGTGTTATTTTTTTACTATATAACTAAAAAAAAGTACCCTAAATTTTGAAAAGGAAAACGGTTTCCCTATTTATTGTTATGAAACATTTATTATCACCCAAATTTTTTGGTAAAACATAGAATACGGGGTCACGTCGGGTAAACAGACACCAAACATGTCAAGCTTTAAAATTGCGCGCGTCACAAAATCGCAGATAACGACCACACCCAAAATTGGCCATAGGCGACGCTTTAAAATATTTTACCGTTCATCAGTTTAATGTGATCAGTAATTAATGGCCCGTCAGTGCAAGCTACTGCAGGCGATCGGGCATTTCTAGAGACACCCGATCGCTTGAATGTAAACGGCCATCGCTGGCTGTTTATATTGGTTACGGTTCCACACTCGTGTGCGCTGAGCACGAGCAGGGGGAGGAGCAGGACATATTAAAACGCCCTCCCGCTCCTACAAGACTCCTGTCCGGCCGTTCAGGAACGGGAGGTGGTCAAAAGAGGAAACCACTTACAATGGATGCTGCTCCTTGATCAGTTAGAAGTTTTAGTTTCCTGCAGAATCAGCTGGTACCCTGAGCACTGGCCCTGATATTCTGTTTTTGGGTGGCTTCTTTTCTCTTGCAGTAACCTATGGAGTTACCCTTGGGTGTGCTAATAAGTTGTGTGTCTCCACAAACACACAGCAAGGCAAACCATTACCCTGCTCCCCCCTCATCCTTCTCCCTTTCTCCACGCTTGTAGACGGACAACTTCTGGAGACTGCTCTGTCTCATGTGATCTTGTGCTCAACAGGAAGTTTAGAGAAGAGCTGGAGCCAAATGTTTGGAAACATGACTAAGTGCTTGGGCTAAAATGTGAAGAAATGCTTTGCTGGGCCATGTATATTTGTTTGATCATTAT